GCACTGGCTAGGTACTGTAGGGAATCTAAGAATAAATAACAACTACTACTACTATTACCATTTATTGGATGCCTACTATGTGCCAGAGTCTTTAACACATTAACACCCAACACCCCCATGAAGTAGGTGTGGTTACTCCCATCTTATGGATGAAGAAACAGACACTTGGGAAGTAAGCTGCACGTTGCAGATTTAAATCCAGGTCCATCAACCCCTAAGCCCACACTCTGTTCCCTAAGCCACAACCCTTCTCCTCAAGAAATTTACAAACTATTAGGGCAGATAAGACGTAGATATAAACTTCTATACCAGGGATTGGCAAACTATGGCCAGTAGGCCAACTTCGACCCGTCACATTATTTTGGCCACGAGCTAAGACGGTTTTTATATTTTTAAATGGTTGGGGGGAAAAAATCAGAAAAATAATAATACTGTGTACATGTAAAAATCATACGAAATTCAAATTTCAGTGTCCATAAACACAGTCTTATTGGAACCTGGCCATGCCTGTCCATCCACTATTCTCTCAGGCTCTCTTCCCGACACAACAGCACAGATGAGCAGTTGTGGCAGAGACTGCGTGCCCCACAAAGCCAAAAATATTGACCCTCTGGCCCTCACAGAAAAGATTTGACAACTCCTAGTCTACAGTCCAAGGTGGAATGTGATGCATCAATAGGAGAGGTTTTTAAAAAGGGTTTTGAGAGTTAAGAAGAGAGGAAACTAACATTTATTTAACTCACGGTGTCAGGTGCTAGAAAGGATATACAGGTGTGCTCTGTTTTAAGACTCAATGCATGAAAACCCAGACTTTAAAACAGATAAATTAAAAGATAGTTATTTGCATAACAAATTTTCCTTTTCACTTTGTAAAGGGATTCACCATGGGGTTCCTTTATAGAATGAGCCTCCACAATGCATGCTAATATGATTCCACTTACAAATATTCTATTCAAAATAACTTTTCAAGAACCTATCTATTGTGCACAGGTAGGCTTAGCTATAACCATTTTTCCTGGCAGTGTAAGGTTTTCTACTCTGAAAAGTAACTGAGCTGACCTAGCGGATTTGAGGGAGGCGTAAGTGCTTTACCTTCTCCTTCTCTCCGAGAGGGGATCTGCCTGACAAATTGCAAGGCTGTGGGTTCCAGGTCCCTGCATTACGTGAAGTTAGAGAGCTGATGTGGCACCACATTTTTAGCTGAGCTCCTCCGGTAGCTGCGACCAAAGTCCAAAAATCTAAACTCCCCTGTATTCTATGACTTCACATCATTTGCAAGATAAATTAATAAAAATTACGGTTGTTGCTAATGTCCTGATAAATATGCTACAAGCAATCCTTATAAAGAGCAATGTTTCTCTTTTTTTTCCCCCAGGACATTATCTTAACTGAATTACAACATAAACTGGGGCAAGTCATATAATATTTAAATTAGAGCTCTCCCCAGCAGAATAGGAAGTGGTGTCACCGAGTCAGTTTAGGACTCGGCTCCCTCTTTCGATGGGTCCGGAGCCTGAATCTTCCAACAGCTTCATGCTGTTACACAATTGCTCTTTTTAAGAGATGCATAAAACAGAAACCTGGGCTATTCCTAGCCAACTTAGGAGGAGCTGAAATGGTTCAAGAAGTTTCTTGCTGGTACCATTTTGATGGTAACTGTGTTTCAGAACACATCCACTTAATCTGGCTTTCAAATGGAGGCTATATTAAAGAGCTGTCTCCTGGCTTTTTGTTTTCATCCTCTGTGGTGACTATATTTTAGAAGTAGATAAACATTATTGGTACATGGCCTGAATATTTTTCAGGTTTTTTGGTGGTAAAAGAAGCTTAAATGGAAATGGAAGGGCAGAGAAAATCGTGCCTGGGGAAGTCCTGGGTGGCGTTGCCTTGTGGCAAAGCAGATCTCTCCCAGGGCTGCGAATGGATATTATGTGCAATTCGTAAACCGGGGAAGTGAAAGTGAGAGAGGGGCAGAGGGCTGGCGAACAGCAGAGCCAGCATTAGGGGCAGGAGCCCTGCATTGTTCTGAGGCAGGATTTCTGGACAGATGGCAGCGTCGACAGGGTTGGGATGGGTAGGAGAAGGCTGCTGCTGGTGGCTTGGCACCTGGCTGCTGTCACTTCTCCTTCGCACTCTATGGCAGGTAGCATTTCAGCCATTTCTAAAGCTGATAACTGGCAGGGAAAGCACATTCAATCCATCTGTGAGGTTCTCTGAAGAGGTGTTTCTGTCTCCATCTCCCCCTGAGGTCAGGAGCACTGTAACTGCAAATAGCAGTGAGAAGGCTCCACTGCATGCTTGAGCCTGCTCTCTCTCTCTCTCTTCTCTTTTCTCTCTTGGAATTGTTGCTACCACGTTTTTGTCTCCTTCACATATATTTGTTGTTTCCCAGATGCAGTATGCAGTGGTGGTGGGTACAGATTACAAAACAAATGAATACTGAATAATAGTTCAGTTTTCTTTTTACCTGGTGGTAATTTAAAACTTTTTAAAATTAAAACTAATGGATATAAAGGAATGGGATATAAATTTCATGCATTTTTATGATCAAACAGAACACTGACACCCGGGGATGGCACATGCACCATTCTCCGCTATTAGGGACCATTCAAAGGAAGAATTTGCAAAGCCCTACGATTTGAATGAAAACAGAGCATACCCCACTCCACTCCAACTGTCTCCCTCCTTCCAAAGAGCATCGGAACAGATTTCATTTCACAAATGGAAATGGGATGCAAACAAATTTTTTTAAAGTGATTTCATGAAGAGTGGGCCTGTTTAATTGGGTTTTTTGAGCCAGGATTAATATTATAAGCTGGGGAGCTCTGTGATGTTCCTATGTCCTTGGCTTTGTCAAACCACCTGCCTCTTGGGGGAAGGCAGAGAAAAGTGCCACGAATCAGAAGCAATTGTACTTCTGCCTGGGCCTTCTCACTGAAGTGACTTACAGCCAGCCTGGACCGAGCACCCAGGCCTGATCTGAGTTATATGTAATGTAGGAAAGATCTTCCCAAACTCAAGGTCATATGTAGAGCATGCCTCAGATATTTTTTTCATCTCTAATTTATGTGACTTTCTAATATGTTTAGCATTTGCCCTCTCCTTGTCTCCATCCTGCTTATTAAGGCAAATTTGCATAGAAATGGAATCTTGGTTTTCAGGACCATTCACCTGACACTCGTGACCAGTGTCTACTTTAGATACCATGAGGGTGACCCACAGACGCCACATCTCCCTGCAAACTAGAGGCAAGACCTTAATTAGGGGTAGCTTTGCATGTTAAAGTAATGGGGTGAATCAAATCAGCAAATGCATTTAGCTTTCACTAAGGAGGGCAGAATACTCCTTCCCGTGGAGTGGGCCATCCTAGGTCACAGAAACTTTAATTTGCCTTAGATGGACAGATCTTGAAGAAAGTATCCAAAAAGTATATATTTGTATATATTTTTTTGTTTGGAAATAAGTTTTGGCTGGCAATAAAGCTCAGACAGTTAACTGTGACATTTTACTTTGGCTCCTGAAATATTTTTTGCTTAATACCTATCTTTGGGAGTGGTAATATTCATCTCCACAAATTGCTGTCAGGAGACGAAGCAAATGTGGAAAATCAGAGAAACGAGCCCTTTGCTATCAAGACCACTGCAGTTGGCGTTAATCCTCAGATCTCCGCGTGGTACACCCTCCCACCGATAGCCACTTTCCTTATTTACCCAAATCTTGTCACTTGGGCAGAATTTCCCACTGAGAGGACAATTGTGGTCCTAGTTTACCGTTCCCTGAAAGTCAATTAGGTTTCAGGGTTACCAACCTAAAGGGTTTCAGACTTAGGCAAATTTTGCAAAACTTAAGTGCTTAGTAACAGTGTCAAGATTGTGTCCTGACAGTAAGCTGTCTTATCAGAGAACCAAAGGATTTGATGGTCATGGAGAATAAGCATCAAATTTCCCCCATGAGAAGTTTCTAGGAGATGGGAGAAATCAGAAGAACACTTGGGCTGTTTTTGGCCGGGACACCTTTGCTGAGGATAAGTTCACTCCATAAAATTATTTTAAAATGTAAATACTACTTAGCTTTATCTTGTGTAACATTTTGCATCTATTATTTAATCTCACATCCTTATTAGTTGAATATTATGATCCCCATTTTATAGGTGAGGAAACTGAGACTCCAAGAGGTTTAGTTACTTGTACAAGATCATATAGCATTCACCAGCAAAACTCGGACTCTGCTCTCTTTCTATTACATCCCTACTGTCTCCTAAAAAACCCAACCATATTTCATTTGTAGGCTAACTTATTTATCTTCATACAGGTCTCATGTATTATTAGAAGGGGCCAATATTTTAACTCAATTCAGAAATATTAAAATAAAAATTCACAAAATGTATATGGCTTACACTATAATAATAAAATGAGGAATTTGAGTCTCCCAACTCTAAAACCGGAATGCTCTCTACTCTCAAACCATGTGGAAGGACGCTAAGTTCCCCACTGGCCAACGCTGTCTAATTCTCTTAAATGATTCAGATGTAAAAGAGTAAATGGCATCTGTCTAATTAACACTGCCTGGTTAAGTATAGCTGCCAAGGGACAGCCTCGGCGACAGTGTTTAGAGAACAGTCTTTCCAGCCCCTCGGGGGTCAAGTTAGAGATGAGAGCAAGTCTCTGTCCTTATCAACCAGAAACAGAGATGCCCCAGAAATGGTGACAGGCCAGGACAAGCGAAAGGAGATGATAGGAGAGAGGAGAGGCCATCGCTGGCCTTCATTTCCTGTTCCTGGCTTTTGGGGATCCAGAGAATGATGAGGGAACCAGATCCTAAAGGCGCTGGCAGGTCTTCCCGAAAACAAGAGCCCTCACTGTGCGCCTGTGCCTCCCTCTCCGGCCCGGAGACATTCAGCCCCTGGCCTACCAACAGCTAAGACTGCTACACGGCCAGCATCTGCTCTGCTGCCCTTCTCCTGGCAGGAAGGCACAATGACCACATTCTGTGTCTTCCAGCTTCACAGGACAACATGGAAGCCATCGCCAAGTTTGACTTCACCGCCTCAGGGGAGGATGAACTGAGCTTTCACACTGGAGATGTTCTGAAGGTAGGTGATGTGGGGGCCAGGAGAACCAGGAGGGTTTAGGTTACTCTGGTCTGGTCCCTGAGTCAATCTAACAATCCACGCCTTTCTTTCTTAAGAGCTACACACAATTCCTTTCAAATAGAGAAGCTCACCTCAATCAAAAGCGTTCCTTCTGAGTAGCCCTGTGTGCTAGCCACCAGGCCAGGTGATGGAAATCCAGTTGGCATAAGCCATCATCCTTGTCCTGAGACGCTTGTGGTCTGGAGGGGGAAAGAAATTCAGCCAAAGGGCTGTCACAGATGTTCTTATTTAAGTGCTTAGGGCACACAGGTGAGGGAGGAATTGATCCCACCCTGAAAGATGGGGTTGTAGGAAGGTGTGGCAACATCAGCTGTTAGGGAATGCAGTGAAGGTGCGTTGGGCTTTTAGCTAAAGCTCAGAGATGAGCAAGCCCACGCGGTGAGCACTGTGAGGTTCAGCACGGCTGGAGCTTACAAGAGGAGGGTGCGGGTGGAGACAGCCTGGGAAAGGCAGCTAGAGGAGACGTGGCTCAACAAAGGCGTGCATACTCGGCCACTCAGGGGCTTCTTAAAACTTGTCTTCCGCCCGCATTTGTGTTGTAGTGGCGACTTGCTGAGCTGAAGAGGCCTTGGACTTCTTCCACATTTCATGCACCACACTTATAGACTCTGCATCTTAGGCCCTGCTTTGTGCATAAGAGCACAAGCCCTTCAAGAGGCCATTGGGGAGTCTGTGATGCCAATGCCCCCCTGCCTGGCCTCAAGCACCCTCAGATATCCTCATCCCTGGTCCTCAGCAGCCCAGATGGGCCTTCTTAGACTGCCCAGCGGCACTGAGGCCACCATTGTCTCACCACTGAGAATTCCACTTGCTACAGAAAGACCTTTGTTGGTATGTGAGAGGGTGACTCAGAAAGTGTCCATGGAGCACAAACCAGGTGGGATGACTTGGTTTGGAATCTGAACACCCCCACTATTTAGGCTTCTAACTGTTCTCACCTTACAAGATCTAGTAATGTGGTTGCAAAGAGTACGCCTTCAATGTTGGAGCTTCTCAAGGGCAAAATATTGCTTGGGCTGCTGACCCAGGAAAAGGGGACCTTCACTTCTTTGGGATCATACCAAGGTCACAGAAGGATCTGCCACACAGTGGGCAGTCCCTCCCTTCTCTATGGGGTATTGTGACCATGTAATTATCAACCACTCTAGAGCATCCTCCCTCAAAAGAGGCCCAGGGACCAACTCCCACCCCTCATCTCCCATTGCAAACAGAACCTTATACCTTGCTTAAGTTTTCCCTATTCCCTAGAAAAGTAAAAAGTTAAAAAAAGAACTTTCCTCATCTCTGCTTCTCAATACAGCTCCTAATTTCTTTCTTCTCCTTAGCTGCCAATACTAGGAAGAATTCTCTATGCTGGGTGCCTCCACTTCCTCTCTTCTCATTCATTCCCCTGGAACCCTCTGGAATCTGCCTTTTACCCTCAATGCTCCCTTAAAGTCCATCAGTGATCTCCTTAATGTAGAATATAAGGACCCTACTAAAATGCCTGTAGAATTTGACACGGCTAACTGCCGCTCTCTTGGATCTGAATAGAGTTCCGTCTGACTCCTAAACAACTGTACTCTGCTCTGAATATTTTTCTTTCATGATACCTCTCAAGCAATCCCCGTCTTCACTAGAGAGGAGTCTGATGCAGTAAAAAGGAGCATGGGCTTTGGAGCCAGATAAATCTGAGTTTGAATCCTAGCATACTAACTGTGTGGTCTTGGACCAGTCACTGGACCCCTCTGAGCTTCAGTGTCTTCCTCTCTAAGTGAGGCCATATCTATCTTGTGGGGTTGTGGAAAGGATTAGAGGTAATGGTCCCAGCCCAAAGCAGATGCTCAATAAACGGGCACCATATTATCAGTATTACCCATTCCTGCTGCCTCTGACTGTTCAGACTATACCACAGCGCCTTGACTGAACTCATTGCCTCCTGTCTATTCCACCTTCAATCATTCTACATACTAGTCCCAGGGGGATCTTTCTAGAAGACAAATCAGATCATATCACTTCCTTACTCAAAAGCATTCAGTGGTTCCCCATTACCAATTGATTGAAATCTAATTCCTCTGGCCCCAACTCACTGCCCAACTTCATCATGCTCACATGGATGAACATACACACACGTGCATGCACACACACACACCTTTGTGTATGTAATGCCCCAGGTCACGCTGCAATATATACACCATCCTTTCTCAGGCTTTCCCCCATACTCTGAATGCCCTTCTCCCACACACACATAGTTGACCACATCTGCCATGGAACCCTCACTAATCTTCCCTCCTCCCCACCTCCCCAGCGAAATCAATCACTCCCTCTTCAGCTCTTCCACAGCATTTCACAGCCACTTATGATCTTGCCTCATATGACAGTTATTTATGAGCAGGCCAAGCCTCCACGCTCTCATGCCCCCTGTACATCCATCTCTCCTTGCTGCCCTTACCCAGTGGGATCCTGATTGTCCATTTACGTGTTGGCTACTCCAGTCACCAAAGCTCTGGAAGGGCAAGGCCAGGTCTGCCTCAGTGTCTAGAACAGCAGAAAGGTGAGCCTCCCTAATATTTGATGAATGATTGACTCCTCCACTGACCTGTGAGCTCCCTGAGAGCAGAGCCATGCCGGGTTCGTCTTTGTATCTTCCCAGCATTTAACACATGTCACCGCCCCAAATAGGCTCTCAGTATACATTTCTTGAATTGTGAAATTACATTTCTGTATGCTCATTTAGAATTCCATCAGAAGGCCAGTCCTCTCCTTCTTTTCAAATTCTATCCATTGCAGCTGTAGCAGTGAAGACAAAAGTGGAGAGGGGCTTGTTGGCCGAGCCTCACAGAATGTCTGTGTCATGGCGGTTACTGGCCCTGCCTGTGGGTCTCTACGTACAACTGCAATGCCTGCCCCTCTCCTCCAGAGATGAGTAACACGTCCCAGGATCTTCACAATTGTTTTCAAAGCCAGCTCTTGACAGCCCCAGGAATTCGCTCCTGGGATGTTCTTTCATATTTGACCTTAAAGGCTAAACGACTAAACAGACTTTTCCACTACAAGGTACCAAAAATGTCTGACCAGCTCACCACCAACCCACCCCCTCCAGACTGTGAGTTCCCCAGGACGAAAGCTCCAGCTTATTCATCTCTGTATTCCCAGCACCTAAGTGCAAACAGTAGGTGCTCACTAGATGCTGATCACAGAAAGGTGAGCAAGATGGTGGACAGAGAACTTCTGCCAAGTGACTTGATTCCACCTCTTTTGTGAGAGAAACATTTGAAAAGTCAGGAGTCGATGTTTCGCCTTCATATCTCAAACCTCCGGACCTGCAGCCACACGCAGCACCAGACTTACATTTCCCACTTGAATTTGTCAATCATTTTAAAAACGTGTCTTGACCCAGTCCACTTCTATCTGCTTCTGTAATGTGTCTAACTTTACCCTATTTCTTTCTACTAAAACAGCGGCCTAAAAGCACTAAGAGTTAATCCTACGTAATTAACTTCTTCAGTACTTCAGATTTCTCCTATGCCTCTAAGAGCTATAATTCCACCCAATTTTAAAATTCTTCCAACTGTACATTTTGTCCTCTTCCCACATCTACCTTATTCTCAGGCCATGTAACCCAGAAAACTATTCTCATAGACAGCATTATAAGAATTAAGATACAGTAAAGTGTAAAACCTCATGTGTTTCGGCTGAACTCCTTACTCAGGTTTACATGATGGGTACGAGAGATAGGGGGAACCGAAGAGATGGAGAGATGAGAAGAACAGGAAGTATGGGGCCCAGGGCCAACAACGGCAGGAGGAAACCACCTCCCCCCAAGTACTCTTCTTTGCAGAAAATGAGATTTTTTAAAACCTTGCCTTCAATACACCATAAAAAGCCTGTAAATAGACCTCTCTGGGAACACGATCTCGGGCAGACCAAGCACCAGGTGGCGGGGAAAAATGGCCGGCATTGTGGGATAATCTTTCAGTTGCTACAGGAGGTAGATGGGCGTGAGCCTCGATTACTAAAATTACAGCTGGTTTCAGGTCAGACAGCTAAGTACAAAGTGTGGTTCTTACCATGATGAGCCAATTTCCAAATGGCCTCTTTTACCTCATCCCTGCTCACTTTCGTATTTGCCCTTAGCTACCCAGGCCAAACACCGCATTCCCATGTGATGGGAGAAAGGAATTCCAACGCCATGAACTGGGGGGAGATGGCATGGAGTGAAATGTCCCTGTGTTCTTTATGCGACTGCCAGGCACTGGAGTTTCCTGGTTCTTCTTTTGACCTAGATTTTCTGCTCCCCCCACCACCCCCCTCAGCATACACATACCCACACGTCCTTAGTGATACCAACAGTCACATTTGATGTCAGAAACTATGAAGTTTTCTGTTCTCAGCAATTCTAGAACTCAAATATGGGACACACTTTTATTTCCTCAGAACAAATGATTAAACTCAAAACATACACCTATAATACTTTAAAGAACATGTAAACCCTTCCATGTCCTTCAGAGCTGGAGTCCTCCCTTATAAGAACATCACGTTTTACAGAATTGTATTTTAGAAAAGAGCCTACACTTTCTGAAGGACTTTCAGGCTCCAGGGCTCATTTGATCCTCACATCAGCTCCATGAGGTGCTAGCTGGTTATTATTGTCCCTACTTTTCAGATGGCTAATTGACTTGCTGAAGGTCACACAGCTAGTGACAGGGCCAAGCTAGAAGCCAGGTCTTCTCATTCCACACTCAAAGTGCTATCTCCTTTCTTCCACCTAGGGAGTGATATTAGAAATAGGCCATTGTTGCTTCTCAATACCCAACTCCCTTTGTTTCTCTTCCCACCTCTGGGAGAGAGAAACCCATGGGACCCAGGACTTCAGCTCCACCCACTCTCTGATGATTCTGAAATCTCAACCTCTCTGCTGAGTCCGGACACACATCTCCAACTGCCCACTGAGCTTTTCTTCTCAGACGGTCCTAGGGGCAACTGGGATTCACCCACACGCAATCTGAAGTCCATGAGTTTTTCCTCAGACCCGCTCCTCCTCCTGTATTTTCTATTTTAGTAAAGGCATCACCACCCACTCAGTCTCCCCAGCCAGAAATCCGGAGCCATCCCAGAATCCCCCTTCTCCCCTAGTTGTGCGAACAGTCACGAAATCCCGCCCATTTTGCTTCCTGAATTCCTCTAAAATATGTCCTCACTTCTCAGCCCAGATCCCCTTCCTTTCTCGCCTGGATGGCTACACTCTTCCTACAGTTTCTCCCCAGCTTTACCCCTCCAATCCATCTTCACGCTATGATACAGCACTCTTTTCTTAACTCTAGTTCTTCCTGTGTTATTTCCCCACTTAAATTCCTTTAATGGCTCCCCATAAATTTCAATATAAAAATACAAACTTTTCCACACGGGCCGCAAGGTTCTGTCCTCCGTTCCTTTCTCTTTACTGCTGGGGTCGCGATCTCAACTCCCCTCCAGGCTGAGGCCTTTGTTCCCAGAATGCACTGCACTGCCTCCTATCCCGGAAGTAGTTCTTTCGCCGTCGGACTTCGCATGGGTAACTCCACTTATCGCCTGAGCAGCCTGATGGCCTCTCCTCTGGGTAATCTTTCCTATCCTTCCTCTGGTTTCCCATTTATTGGAGTAGTTCTCTCAGTTAAGACATTTTCAGCTACAAGAAACAGAAACTAAAAATGACAAACGATAATGAAGATTTATCAGTTCTCACACAAAGTCCAGAAGTAGGGGGGCTCCTGGGTAGCTAATTCAGCGGCTCAATGACATCATGAAGGTTCTTTCCCTCTTTTTGCTCTGCCATGCTCGTTTGGAATTATTGTTTGACACACTTTAGACACATTCTCAGTGAGGGGTGGGAGGCAAATAGTTGTCTTTTAACAGTGAAACTCACTTTCTGAAATAACCAGAAGCCACACAGAGCCAAGTCTGGAGAGTCATATGAGTAATCAAGGTAGGTAATAACATTTGGGGTCAAGGTCAAGGTAGGACCATATAGTAAGAGACAGAACTTCTGGTTTTGCCTGTGATCTGGCTCTAAAAGCAAGTTTAGAAAAGGCACTCCAGATATCTTGAGTTATGTCCAAATTGTGAAACACATGGAGTGTGAACACAAAGAGTTACTGTTTCCAAAGCTGTCCCCATTTGGATGTTTGAGTTTTAATCTGCTGGTTTAAAAAAATAAGAACAAATTCAATTTTTAAAAGGTTCCTGGTTGTCTAGCAGAGAAGAAAAAACCATGGAGTAGCTGCTTTTGCCTTCCTACCATCTTCCCAGATGAGGAGCTTAAGGTGCTGAGATCTGGGACACATGAATTTCCAAAATAAAAGGAGAAAGGGGTTCAGGGTAGCCCCTGAGTACTGAGTCTGGGAGGCCATGCCACAGTGGGGTAACATGAATGGGTGGTACAAGTGGACAGAAATAGCTTGGGGTCAAGAGAAGCCAAACTCCAAAAATGAACCTGCTGCTGCCCCACTAGAGCATCATGTGGTTTCTTTGGCTTATTTTCCTCTAAGTCCAAAAGGGCATTCTTTGCCCTGCAACCTCTTTCTCTTGTTTCTTGGTGTCCTCTCTGCAGTGTCTTTGTCCTTCCTTCTCTTTCATGTAGATCTTAAGTAACCAAGAGGAGTGGTTCAAGGCGGAGCTTGGGAGCCAAGAAGGATATGTGCCCAAGAATTTTATAGACATCCAGTTTCCTGAGTAAGTATTTCCAGCCTGCTGAGATGGGCCTACCCACACACACTCTCCTTACTTTTTCAGTAGTCGCTAAAATTATCCATGCACACCCAAGATACTGTCAAAAATGGTTGTCTCTGGAGAGGGAACCACTCAGCTGAAGGCCAGGAGTGGGAGAGAGATTTGCATTTCACTGCATTCCCTTTTGAATTTCATACCACGTGCATGTATTGCCTATTTTAAGTTTATAAGCTAAAATCATCTATAATTGTAATCACAGGGTTTCCAAGAATTCCAGGGGGGGCGCTGTTGGCCTCCCTACTTCAAGAGCCGCCACTCTCCCAGCCTACCTTCCATCCTAACCAAGGATCCCAGACAGCTCTGGGCCCTAATCAGGGTGTGAATACTCCTTGCCTTCCTTACACCCTGCTCACAGCAGTGCAAGAAGTCCGTGGGAGAAAAGGGGAAATTCCCTTTATAAAGAGGAAACTGAAAATTTGAGATTGGGTCTCGTTTGTCTCAAGAATTGACCACAAGGGTTAGATAGAAATCTAATCTTGTCTGAAAGTCAGGGTGTAGCTCAAATAGCATAGGTTTGTTAGAAAACCAAAGAGGTGTTGGCGACCCTGGTGAGGAGCAGCAGCACCACTCATAATGAACCAGTCCTGACCACTGAACTGTAGACTGGCCACTGACCTCAGCTGGCCCTTGCTGCTGCCCTGTGACCTTCCAAATGACCACGTGGGGTCTGTCATCCCTTCCTCGCTCCCCAAACCTCCAGCCCCTCCCCCACTGCACTCTCAGTGGAGGGCCTTGCTTCCAGGTTCACTGGGACAATGGAAGCCACCAGAGAAGCCCCTCTACCCCACTTACCACCTGACTCACTGCCTCCACCCACCCCCTGCAACTGCACTCAGACACTGCCTTTCCTGCAGCTGTTTGGAAAGAACTGTCTGTGCTTCTAGCAGAAATTCTCCCTTTTCTCTTCCATGTCGACTTTCTTTCCCTCTCTGCTGGATCATTCCCATTAGCAAACAAAGATGCTGCAATTCTCCCGTCTTACCAGAAAACAAAAGGAAACTTAAAAGCTCTTGATCCCAAATCCCCTTCCAGCTACCACTATACTTCTTCAAAAGAATTATTTATATTCGCTGTCTCTAACTCCTGTCCTTCCATTCTCTCTGGAACCCCCACAACTCCTTCGAAATCTTTCTGTCAAGGTCACAGTGAACTACCAGTCCCAGTGGTTGATTCTCGGCCATCATCTCAGCATGATTTGATGTGGGAGATCTTTGCCTCCTGTTGAAACACTTTCTTCATTTGGCTTCTGAGACATCCTTCCTCCTGGTTCTCCCACCACCTGGCTGCTCCTCCTCCCTCTCCTTTGCTGGTTTCTCCTCATCTCCCCAATCTCCTTTAGGCTTAGAATTTCCCCCTCCCAGTGAGGTTCCTCCCCATCACCACATTTTAAATTACTCCCCCACTCCCCATTCCTCCTTTTTGTTTGCATTTTCTCTATGGCACTTATCATCATGTGACATACTATAGAGTTTAATTATTTTGTTGTTTATTGTGTGCCCCCACCCCACTAGAATGTAAGTTTGATGAGAGCAGGAGTTCTTGTCTGTTCTGCTCACCACTACATGCCCAGTGCCCAGCAGAGGGCCCAGTACACTGTAGATGTTTAATAAAAGCTATTAAATGAATGAATAAATGATTTTGGAAGATATGTAATATTGAAGCCCTGGCCACTCATTTAATATGTAGAGTGTGGACATTTTTTCACATCTTGAAAGAAGTCACTTATCAAATTCCAGTTGGAGGACAAATGTGTATTTTCTAAACAATCCCCTCACTGCTTGCTGCCTCTTCTGAAATATTTCCTTTGAGGTATGGCTGGCTTGGAGCACATCCCATTCTTGTTCCCATCCCCTTTATGTTTCCTGCACAAGGCCATGCTGTGGGGGTCGCTTGTTCACCCAGAGGGTTGGTTGGCAAATACTCTGGCAGGATCTCCAGGCAGATGACCGACCACCAGAAACCCCCTGCTTCCAGTCCCTCAGAACCCAACAAGCCTTCCCCTGCAGTTCCAGTTCTGGAATAAGGACATCCTTCCTGCCGCCCCTGTCTGGAGTTCAGATCCTAAATTCTAAACAGCACAGGGATGGGCCGGCCCCGTGGCTTAGCGGCTAAGTGCGTGCGATCCGCTGCTGGTGGCCCGGGTTCGAATCCCAGGCGTGCACCGACACACCGCTTGTCCGGCCATGCTGAGGCCGCATCCCACATACAGCAACTAGAAGCATGTGCAGCTATGACATACAACTATCTACTGGGGCTTTGGGGGAAAAATAAATAAATAAATAAAAATTATAGAGAGCACAGGAAATTGCTCACAAAGGAATCCAAAGCTGTGGCCTGCTGGACCTTCACTTGAAAGGGACGCACATCCTAGCCTTGCAGCGGCAGCAATTAGAGCAGCCACCTTGAAGAAGTGGGACACGGTCCCACCTTTGGCTGCTGAGTGATTGCAAACACTCTGCTTTTCTCTGGTTGAGAGCGGCTTCCGGCCTGCTGCCCTGAGGCTGGAGCCCCTGGCTGCCTTGCCGCTGTGGAAGAGCTTGGCCTTTTTCACACATGCCGAGCTGCCGCAGCAACAATTCCAGAGGCTGCCACTCTGCCTGCTCCCCTGAAAGAGTAGTTTCTACTTTTCCGCAGTAAAGATGATTTTCCAGCCTGGATTTTCAGGGAGGGCCCAGGAGCTGGCTGTGTAGACTCTGCTTTCTGGCTGCAGCCAGCCTCGCTCATGTCCACGTGTGCGTGTGTAGGGCTCCCTGGGTGCCTTGCAGCCTCTGCCGGGCACACTGAGCAAACTCCCATAAGCTCCATGCCACCCAGGTCGCATGGGCCCCTGAGCTGTAACTCTCCTTCTGGGCCCCTGAGGTCTCAGCCCGGGAACAAGTGCCCAGGACCCTTCCCAGTTCCACCCAGTGGCCCCAGTGCCTGAAGCCGTCCTTTCCTTCCTGTCCCTGCAGTTCTTTCCTAGCGACATCCCTCACACAGCTGCCAGCAGGCGGCTGCTTCCCGCAGTGAGTCACTCCCACACTGTCCCATTTTGGTGCAGTGGCACATTTCCATGATTCAGGCTCTCCAAGCTGGAGAGACACCTCTCCTAGAGAGAAGGAACAAAGAGGATGCGTCAAGGGGAACACTCACTGGCCTTGCCTGAAAACTGCCTGGAGCATTTGTTTGGTTTCAGAAGCTCCTGGCCCCCTTTCGCCTCTCTCTGCTCTCTGTGACCAGTCCCCTGCCTCTCTTCCTTTGTGTCTTCTCTCCTCCGCTTCCCCCTCCTGGCACTCTGGTGTCTCACTAAGATCCTCTGGTTTTATCTCACCCAATAGATGGTTTCACGAAGGCCTCTCGAGACACCAGGCAGAGAACTTACTCATGGGCAAGGAGGTTGGTTTCTTCATCATCCGGGCCAGCCAGAGCTCCCCAGGGGACTTCTCTATCTCCGTCAGGTACTGTCCGTTCCAACACTGTCCTGACCCAGACTGCTAAAGCTGTGAGGTGACTTCTTGAACGTGATCTATTGCTCAGGAGCTTGGCTCATCAACTATGTTGCCATCAATTTCCTTCCCACATGTACATAACTCCTTGGTACATTGGTTTGTGGCCAAAATTATGTGTACATTCATCTGCCTCCCCCTCTAGCCCAGGTGCTTCTACTTCACCTTTGTGCCTTGTACCCAGTAGGTACTCAATGAGTGTTTATGGAAGGAAGTGAGGAGGGAGAGGGAAAGGAGAACTCCCAATCGTCCACTTCTGTCTTGGGGTTTAAATCTTAACCTTTTCTTTTACTACTGGTGCATGTCTGAAGAAGGGTCAGAGAAAAATGAAAACCCCAAATCCTTGTGGTAGGACACATATGCAGTTGTAGGGGGCCGCACAAAAAGAAGGGCTACCTCAACCCACTGTAATACACCAAAGCTGAGAGCAACAGAGCAGAGCGGGGAGGGCTGGGGGGCGGGGGTGGGGACCGTAACAGCAAAGTCTTGCTAATGTGCAGCCCTCAGGAGGAAGTGACTCAGTCCAGGCATAAACATGACAGAGCCCCACACTTGGAAGCCCCAAGTCTGAACACACTGCATGTGGTCAGCGTGTCGGGGAATGCAAGTCATGTAGCCGACTTGGTGACCGCACGTGAAAGTGCAAGAATTAATGCTGTATAGGTGACAATCTGGACAGTGAAACCTTACTGTCAAGTTAATTGACAGGAAATGCTGGTCTGGATTATTCAGCATATTTTGTAAGGCAAGCAGCTTTAGTGCTTTAAGTACATAAATCCAATCTCGGATAATAAGCTGAGGCCACTTTACTATTCAGAAAGAATAGATATTTTAAGGAATAGGTCAGAAGGACCTACAAATAATGGGTCAACCATTTGTATGCACATGTGCCTCTAATGTACTCAAAAATAGCTTGGTCTCCTTAGCATTGCTCTCGCAATTTTGCTTAAACTCTTAATTTTCTTTAACTAAAACTTTCTTTTTCACAGCTTGGGTGATAGCAAATTTTCGCTCAGGCCAATATTGACATACCACAAATTCTAAACTTGTCAGGTCTTAATTAATGATATTTTGCTCTATTAATAAATCTTACAAGTCAAATCTATTTCTTAAGGGCCTGGATTATAGACTGCACAAAGTTAATTGTTACATGGAAGGACATCTCTTGGTGCCTTTGGTTTGCATGAAGTTGACTCTGGTTTTTTTCAGCTAGGAATTATGGTTTATATTTTCTTGATTAGGGTGAATTCTACGAAATGCCAGCCTTGACTTCTGCCACAGTCTTCCCCTGCTATTGAGGCAATGCAGCTTCTTGTTATGGTGGTTATTACCATAATCATTATTACATCTTCTGCAGAAATGTAGTATAATATATTCCAAAGCAAAATCGTTTGTATTTATTTATACATCTGCTTTCTGTCATGGGCAGATAATTAAGAGCTAATTGTAGTACTATCACTTAGCATTTGTTAAGGGTCTGAGTCACTAGACTTTAGAGTCTGGAACCCTGAGTCACATCTTTTTCTCTGCCCCTCTCAGAACAGTGGCCCAGATGACCAACTGCAACCCTGACATCCATCCTCTCAGCTCATGAGAGTGCCAGGTTTAATGTTTCTCACTCTGAGTTCTTTAAGAGGTGGTGGATGAATAATTATATCACAAGAATATTTCCTCCTCCTCACCCAGATGTGAGGAGTAATGACTATGAGTTGAGCCATATGTCATTGTTGGTGTTAGAGCGAAGAAAGCACTTGTTAGTGACCAAAACCAAGGGGAAAACCATGCAATGATTGCCAAGTATTGGTTACCACCCCAAAGCAGCCAAGCAGAGGTCACTGCATGGGTTCACCTGGCTATGAGCAGAGCCTAGCACATAAGATGAGACTGAAGATCAGAATTCCTGTCCCCTCTGAACACAGACCACTAAATCCATCCCTGAGAAACCTCCACTAACCTTCAGAGGTATCTTTACTCTCCAACACTCTTTACATTCTTGACCTTTCTGCTGAATCACGTAATCGGCATTATTAGTGCCAGTTTATTTTTAGATATAAATGTATGTCCATTTGACAAATAAACTTGACATCTAAAAGAGAATGACTTGGTCATGGAGAAAGACAGGAGCTATTAGTAAAGGCCCAGTCTCCTTGTTCCCAGTGAATAAAATCCAGTTTCTCCTCCCCGGTATAAATGTGCCCCATCACCTGTGAGTCCAGCTATGTCAAAAGGTGCCAATCTAAAAGAAGTTAGCATGTGTACATGGTGTGACAGGCCCAGCTCACTAGACAGGAGTCAGAGAGCTGGGGGTCTTGTCTCAGCTCTGCCACTCACTCACGGCAACCTTGACCAAGCCCCTCCATCTCTCCAAGCCTCAGTGTCCTCATCTGTAACATGGAAACTTAAGGTTAAATAATCTCTGAGGTCCTTTCCAATAAAACTCTACAATTCTGTATAACACTTTTTCCCCAAAAAGCTCAAAATATTTTGTAACCTTATTTATGCAAAACATAAACCAAGACCAAGAGATCTCCACTATGTAGAGAACAAAGCATGACAAATTTCTCAAGGCAGTCTCTTACTGTCCAGAGCTGGTTTATGGCTAAAAGGAGCTGGTTCAAAGTTTTCTGATAACAAAAAGATAATGGGGGCTTGAAAACCTCTCCCCTCTGAGTCTTGGCAGAGTCCTTAGCATTGTACAGGACTCAGGAGTTGCCATGTTTCACATAAACGTTGTAAAAAGGCCCTTGACCTCATAGTCTTTAAAGCACTTCAAACGTTTTTTTCCTTGTAAAAGGTCGGCTCCAGTGTCAGAAGACAGATTACCTTCTGCTGATGTAAAAATCACTTCTAATGCAGCCTGTCCTGAGTGCTCCCTTCCACAAATCTCCCCCTCAGCTTGACTGTGCCAGCCACCTGCCCAGCGATATCTCATATCTCCATTTCCTGCCCAAACAGAACTCCAGCATCTCTGCATGCAGTCGGCCCTGGAGGCAGGGATATTGTCACCATGTAATATATAATTTGGATTTGCCTTGATCTCTAGGCATGAGGATGATGTTCAGCACTTCAAGGTCATGAGAGACAACAAGGGTAATTACTTCCTGTGGACAGAGAAGTTTCCATCCCTAAATAAACTGGTGGACTACTACAGGACGACTTCCATCTCCAAACAGAAGCAGATCTTTCTGAGGGATAGAACCCGAGAGGATCAGGTACGCTGCAGGTCCCAATCAGCCCCAATCTAGAGATCTTAGGCAGCTTGAGTGCTACAGGAACCATCAAGACAATGCATTTGGTGGGTATGTCCTCTACGTATTCTGAAAGACAGAATAGCTCTGAAGTCAGGTCTCAGTTTAAATTCTAGCTTAGCACTGCCTAGCTATGTGACTTTGGAAAGTTCTCCAATCCTCAGTTTCCTCATCCATGAACTAGGAATGATGGTGATATCTCCCTCATAGGATGGTTATGAAGGTTAGAGAATATGATGTATCCCCTTCCCTTACATCATTGCTAATAACACTACAGCACTCAATATACATTAGCTCTTAATTGTAGATGCTGTTATTTTGTTATTCATAGACATTACTACATCTCAGTTTTCAGCCTATCTCAGGAGTTGCCCAAGGATGAAGGAGCCAGGGGGTTACATACAGAGATACTAGAGAGCAGCCTGGAGTCTAGGACTAAAGAAGCAGGTAGACCTTTGTGACAGAACTGGGGGAGAGGAGGGATTGGAGAAGAAATTGGGCCTGGAATTCTTGCTCTTGGAACAGTTTGGAATATAGATATTGTTTTAATAGAAAATGCATCAGACAGACCTGGCTTTAAATCCTGATTTCATCGCTCACTATCCTTATTACCTAGCCAAGTTAAGAAACCTTTCTGAGTATCAGTTTTCTCATCTGTAGAATAGAGAGAATGTAATACCTCCCTCACTGGACTGTCGTGAGGATTAAAGGAGATATTATAATTATAGCACTTGCCACAGGGTCTGGACGATCGTTGGCTCTAAGGAAATGTTAACTTGCTTCCCATAAGTAAATTCACACACAGACAATTTATAAAATATTTTTCAAAGGAAATATCATGGTTATAAGAGATGGATATTACAAGAAGAAGCATTGGCTGGACTAAAATCCCGGGAAGAGGTTATTTGAAGGCATTGAGACTTTCAAAGCAACATGCGCTTAGGGGAAGTAAAGAAAGCCATCCCTTTCGAGGAATCGGTTGATTTTAAGCCTGAGAAATTACAGTCAAATGAGAAAAGGGTGTTCCCAGCAAGTGCACACAAAAGTTGAGAAAGAAAAACAACGGTTAACCAAGACCTTGTGAATTGTTCTAACCAGGAAATGGACAGAGGTATTAATTTACCAGGATGTGCATGCAGAGATGAGAGGCAACAGAAAACTGCGTTAATTTGGAATAAATGAGTTCATATTCGTAAAGTGCTTAGAACAGTGCCTAGCAGATACTAAGCCCAGGGCCCTGTGTAATTGTTTGGTAAATAAAAATAACAAGAAAGTATCTCTGAGTCACGAGGTCGTGGTGGCATTAAGGAGAAAGGCCTTGCTCCTTCCCAGCATGCCCTGCGGCTGGCCTGGTTTCCATGGTGCTGCACGTGTTGCTGTTTGAGTCTCTGTCACCAGGCTATAAATGACAGTTCAGAATCATGCAAAGTCAATAGCAGAGCTTATCTGGAGAGTAGGATGTCCAGCAGTGTGGCAACATGCGATAAGGAGGGGTGGCATTGTGTCAGTAAAATAGAATATTTAAGCTTGATTATACAGAGAAAAACAAGCCTGCTAGGAATGGGCTAAATGGTACGAGGTGGAAAGTGTCAGTCTGTGAACCAAAGACCCAGAATCCCCAAACTGGGAGAATCTGAGAATGCGGAGGCCACCTTTGAAATTGTGAGAATCTGAACCATCGGTTCTCTTTCAGCTGCCCCCACCCCATCAGCTGTCTCCTGGAGCTGTCGTAAACAAAGTCTAGGAACAGCGGCCTGAAGGGTAGGGTAAGGCAAGGAGATGCAGGAGGAAAATGGGTCTGCATCATCTCTGTTCTCTCCCAGGGTCGCCGGGGCAACAGCCTGGACCGGAGGCTCCAGGGAGGCCCACACCTCAGTGGGGCTGTGGGAGAGGAAATCCGGCCCTCAATGAACCGGAAGCTGTCAGATCACCCACCACCCGCTCCCTTGCAGTATCCCCCGGGACCGCCACCACAGCAGCAGCGGTATCTGCAGCATCACCATCTTCATCAGGTATCTTGAAAGAATGAAGTGGGCCACAGTGAGGTGGGGAAGAGGACCTGCTTTCGCCCCAGGCTCAGGCCACCTTGTCCCCACTGCCACTTAGTGTGTGAAAATGCCCCGCAACGCTGGAAACAACCACAGCAAATAAATGCTGGGTCTGTTGTGGTCCCAGAACTGTTGGCCAGGAGAGGAATATCCCAGGCCTGGCCCAGCCTCATCAGGTCTCACAGAGTTCATAAAGAAGATCTGGGCCCCTCAAGTGGCAGAAATATGATATGGAAACTGCTCTTGGCTAAGAAGCCTCTGTGAATTAAATGGCTCCATGCCTGAACACACACATACATTCTGACCCTGGGGACTCAGTGAACAATTGCTTCGTTTTCCTATCAGCACAATTCCAAATCTATTCATGCCCCTTAACCCATCTGGCTGTCAAGATCCACAAGAAAAACGGATTAATACCTGCAATGGAGCTTTGCTTATTTATTTATTTATCCCCCCCTTTGTTCCAGATGGGATTTGAGGTGGCTTACCAAAATGGACAATACAGCCAGATAACATCGTTCCTAAATTCCTTAGCAGGGCATACAAAGTCCTCTGTAGCTGCCCATATCTGTTTCCCCAACCTCATCTCCCGCTACCCCCGGCTACTCCCCACGCAAACACATTCCAGCAATGCTGCACCACTTTTAGTTACCCGAATGGTCCATTGCATTTTCTCTCGTGCCTTTGAGGCTTTTTACTGCCTTCACCTCTTCCTGAACTGCCCTTTCCTGGCCCATCCTACTCCTCCATTAAGCTGGAGTTCAAGAATCACTCCTCTGTGAAGCCTTCCGTGATTACCCAGGCAGACTTAGACACTCTTCTCTCTGCTCACTTATCACTCAAATGTGTATGATTCCCCCTCTAAACTAATGCTCCATGAAGACAGGGACTTTCTCTTTCCAGCTACATATCCCCAGTACTTAGGACAGTACTAGACATATGGTAGGTGCCTGATAAATATTCCTTGACTGAAATGAAATCTGGCATCATCTTCACAATCTAAGACCCCTTTGTCATCCTTCCCCATCTCTCCATCATCTAGGGCTTATTATCATCATCAGTAAGTATTCTTGGAACAGTGGCTGTGTCCATGACATCAAGCGAGGCACTGGGGGAGCCTGTGTGGGATGCTTCTGGCAGTGTGGTGACGGATACTCTGTTGCATCTGTTTCCAGGAACGCCGTGGAGGCAGCCTTGACATAAACGACGGACACTGTGGCTTGGGCATGGGTGGCGAAATGAATGCCGCCCTCATGCACCGGAGACACACAGACCCGGTGCAACTCCAAGTGGCTGGGGTATGTGAACTCCCCTCTCTGGGCTCGATGGAGGAGGCAAGAGGGCCGATTAGAGAAATGGTTAGTCCTCCAGGAGAGATGTCAAACTGCGCGGAGCTCAGATAGAAGTGGTGGGAACCCAGCAAGTGACAGTCGGGGGAGAGTTCCGGGACGGAGCTGATCCCAGCCTAGCACCATCCAGTCTGTCGTTCTCAGTTTGGCCGTCCGGCCTTGCCTGTCCTCATATTTCTTGGCTCAGATTATAGTGGAGGGAGATCTGTTACCTTTATCACTGAGATCCATCTTGACTCAGTTGCACTAGCACCAAGAGCTGTTAGTTTGGGCACGCTGCCGTTCTGTTTGTCACTTGAAGAAATTAAAAAGACCACCTATTGTTGTAGGAGAGTAGTTCTCAAGGATTCTCTTCGAACCTTGGAGAATAACATCTTTGTCGGTGAAAGTCCTGAGTCTCAAGAATCACTCTGATGAGTTCTGATAACTTCATGCTCAGGGCTGTGCATCCGGGGTCTGCTTCCAGTGGCAGCAGGGTTTGAAATGTCTCTGGAAAGCCATCCATCAGCCTTCTGGGTGGGCTGCTCAGGGAGGACTTCATCTTGGTGTCGGAGCCAGCAGATCCTCTTCTGTGTGACAGTGGCTCTCAAGGCCAGTCCACGGGCTCAGCAGGACCCCTCTGTGTTTTACCCCAACAGCGAGTGCGGTGGGCCCGGGCGCTGTACGACTTTGAGGCCCTCGAGGATGACGAGCTGGGATTCCGCTGCGGAGAGGTGGTGGAGGTTCTGGATAGTTCCAACCCGTCCTGGTGGACTGGCCGCCTGCACAACAAACTGGGCCTCTTCCCTGCCAACTACGTGGCCCCCATGACCCGATGAAGCCCTTCTGAAGCAGTCAGAGGCTTTCGTCTGAAGCTGCCTTCAAGAGAGGGGGCAAGGAAGAAAAGCTGGGACTATATACACGTATATATATGTGCGTGTATATGTGTATTTACACATACACGCACATATATATATGCCTGTGTATACACACATTTTATAATAGTAATTTATTGGCAATTTAGTTGGATAATTAGTTGATATGAAAGGAACTCAGGTGGGGAATTATATTCATACTTGTTTTTCTACTCCCCTCAGCGGGTGTGCGGAAGGCAGTAGGGAGCTGGGAAGTGCGGGGCAGGGAAATGAAATTGAAATTCCTCCTGTCCTTAAGATGGCACCGCTTCCTCATTGTTTGGGGAATTTTCACAGAGAGGAGCTATGCAGAGATCCACACCCTGGCGTTGGACCAGAACCACAGGGCGGAGTTGAACCTGGACATGGTGGGGCATGTTCTGGCTCACCTTCAGGCCCTACTCACCTCCAGGGTTTGCAGGGCGGCTTCCCTCCTGTTCTCCAAGGGTGGGCACCGCTGGATTGAGAATTAAGGTGCAGCCACACAAGTCTGAGCTGGGAGCGGGAAGGGGTGTGAAGGCAGGACTGGAGCAACCCGTGTCCCGAGGCCTGGGCAAGGCTGGCCTCCTGGTCGCTGCTCAGCTGAGACCTTCATCGCCCTCAAAGGAATGTTCCTCGGCTAATCCTCTTCCTTGTGGCTAACATGGAGAAACAGAGACAGTGAGGAGCCAAGACTGGGAAATGGAGGGGTTTTTCACAAACCTCCCAGTGGCTTACTTGAGTGGAACCTCCATTTCCCTGGCTTTCAGGAAAGCAGCATCCTAGATTCTGTCAAGTGCCTGGAGAAGCCCTGCCTGAGAATGCGGATTTTAGAGCCATTGTTTTATGTTACGAGGGTGTCTCTTTGGGGCTCTGTTTGTTTTCCCTCTTGATTTTCTGTGTTTTGAAGATGCTTTGCCGAGTGGCACAGAGAGAAGCCCACTCCATCTGAGCATTGACCAGCAATTGGTTGATTGACTGATTGAACAGGACCCTGGGAGGGAGCTGGCTTTGAAATGAACTTCCTGTTCCATCTGACTGTTGGACCACTGCTGCCCCCCAACCCGGGTCTGCACCTGGGGAGAGCAACCCCACTGCCACTGTCTGTCCTGGTCACCTCAGAATAGAATTGTGTTTCCTAGTGCTCACCCTGGGGGCGTGAAGCCACACCAGCCTGGCTGGGGAGAAGGAAGCTCAGTGTTTTAGTGGAGCCTGGGAGCAAATATGCCTGCACGGAGGGCACTTAGAAGGGTGTGTGTGTGCGTGTGTGGGTGTGTGTGTGTACTGAGACGTGAAAGCAAGGGTTGGGGTGAAAGTGTTGGTGAGGGAGCATGTGGGTGAGTGGGGGCCTGTTCCTTTGTCTTCTTCCCCAGTCCTTCCAGCTCTAAGGAGGGTCGGGGGCAGCCATTATCGAAGGTAAAATAAGAAGAAAGAGTTTCTGACTCAGAAGTAACAGTCAGTGTAACGTAGGCTGTGTCCCTTTGACTCTGAATCCTACGATTCTCTGATCCCCACGTTGCCTTTAGAGAAAAAGGGAACAAGAAGGGCCTCTGTGGTGGGTCTTGGGAGGGAAGAGAAAATAGCCTGAGAGAGGTGGGGGGAGTCGAGCGTGAGTGCGGAGCCTCTCGCAGCCTTTGGAAATGAAAGCATGGAGAGGAAGAGGGAGCGCAGACATTTCAAAAGATCAAGGAGCAGCGTGAGAGACACAAAGGGAGGGGAAGGGAGCAGGAGGTTAAGTAGGACAAGCGAAGACGTTGGAGTATGGCGTCCGCGGCCGACCACGCACCGAAGGGGGGGCCCAGGCAGGTGGGGAAGGAGGAATTAGAGCAGAGAAATGAGCACCGAGGAAGGCAGAGGGCAAAGACACCACAGGGATGAAGACAAAAGAATAGGGAGGGAGAGAACAAAGACGAAGAAGACCTATAAGCTATTTTGGTGCTAGGTAACGTGAACGTGTTACAGTAAATAAAAGCCAAAAGTAATGTTTGATTTTACAGTATTTAGAAAGCATATGCTTTAAGCAGCCCACAAACTTCATCCACTTGTCTGACTATGTGGGAGGACCAGCCCCAGTGCAGGCAGAGGGAAACGATTTGGTTCCAGCCTGGATTTTGTGCCTTGAAACACTTCTCAAGAAGCAATAATAAAACAAGTGCCCTCGTTTGCTGGGCTGTGTCTGGTGTCTGTGTCACACACCTCTCTGGTGGGAGGCAGGGGTCATTGGCCTGGAGGGGCTGACCACACAGTGTGGGCACAGCTTTCAGAATCCCTGGAACTGGGCGCTCTGTTCCACTAGAGGCCATTGTGGGAGTATTTTTAATTGAGGTGCGAGAATAGCCTTGCCCCCGCTCATCACGTGGCCCGATTCCGAGGGAAGCAAGAGTCACCCTGACCGCCCACAGAGAACAAGGGCCCTTAGGGACCAAGCCAAGAGGACAAAGACCGCACTGTCTGCACTGTGGGGGAGGGGATGCTGACTCTCCTTGGCCTCTGGTGCTGCCTGGGGGAGCATGTGGCGTTGCTTTCCACCTGACAGCATTTCAGCACCAGGGGCGAGTCCACCTAGGGCCCTCACCAGCCACACAACCAGCAAACAGCACCTTGTCTCTGAATTCTGCTGAAATGCTCTGCTGTGATTTGGGAGCAGGGAACTTCCAGAGAAAATCCAGTTCCTGTTGGACCAGTTCAGTTTTCCTAACCGCTTGCTGAGGCTCGCTGCAACTCAAATATCTGGCACCTGCCATGGCCTTAGGGTGATCTGAGGCCGGTGCTTCTCACCACTACTGTGCCTACGAATTGCCTGGGGAGTATGTTAAAACGCAGATTCTGATCCAACCCTGTATTTCTACCAACCTCTGAGGCGATGTTGCTGGGCCCACAGACCACACTTAGTAGCGAGGGCAAAGAACTTGGCAGTAGCTACACAAACCTAATTGGATCTCTTTTCTGGGGATATTCAGGCATTTTTCTTCATTGCTAACAGGTAAGTCGTTTTGGCTGTGCGATAGATATGATTCAGAACTGTCATTATGACATCATTCATATTTGGCAGCACAGGTGACTTATTATTTTAGCATCTTCATCTCCATCAAAAATCTAGAAACTTTAGGGCGAGAGGCATTCAGATGAAATACAAGCAGAGATTTCCTAATAGTAATTCTTTTAAACATGAGCAGAGGTTACAGAAGAAGTTGTGAAAGCTTTCTCAGGAAATTTTGAAACATAAAATTGACTCCTATCAGGTGTGGTCCTGGTTGAAGGCAGGGGAACGGCCCATGTGACATCATTAGACCTCCGCTAACCCAAAGCAGGAGAGGCCACATGGGACAGATTGGCATGGTCAAAATATTTGCTGTTTGCCAACATTTCAGCCCGTCTATACCAAGGCAAGGACATGAGAAAAGCATATTGTTTCAACTCTTCTTTTAAATACTTCTCAGATTCCTCCACTTTTCTCCATCAGCTCGGCCATGCCACCATCATCTCTCTCTTAGGCAGCAGGATGAGCCTCCACGCTTTTCTCCCTGCATGCTCTCTTGTCCCCAATCCGGTCTCCACACAGACGCCGAGCAATCTTTGTAAGACATGAATCTGATCATGTCGCTCCCCTGCCCATTGCGCTTAGGTTTAAATCCAAAGTCCTAGGTCTGGACTGTGAGGTCGGACCCCTGCCAACCTCTCCAGCCTCCTCTTGTGCCTCTTCCTCCTTGCTTTCATGCCCCTGCCCCACTGGCCTTCTTTCAGCCTCCAGGTGGCCAAGGATTTGTCCCCAAATCCTTCACACTTGCTGTTCCCTCTGCCTGGAATGCACATCCGCTGCTCTTAACTGGGCTAACTCCTATGCATCTCCAGGTCTCGGTTTAAATGTCACTTTCTCAAATCGTGCTTTCCTGACCCCTAATCTAAAGTAATCCTTCCCATTAGACCGTCTCAGGGCTCCCAGTGCTTTTCCTGAGTAGCACAGACACAGCGGGTGGCACTAGACTGACCTGTATAGACTGTTAGATGTAAGCTCTCTTCAGGCAGGGATCGTCTCTGTTTTGTAAACCGTTGTGTGCCCAGCATCTGGCACTATGCATGACACGCGGAGGCTCAGTAAATATTTGTTTAATGGATGAACAAGTGCAACTTGCCTCCTCTTACCTATCATTCATTCTGTAACCCAATGTCCTGGCCTTACAGATCCGTAGGTGCAAAGAAGGTGATATTAACATTGATGCCTAAGTTGCAGTAGCTTTTAGTGACCTCCCCTCAAAATCTCCAGTTACTCCTGAGAGTCCAAGAGAGGGAGGCTGGTATTTCTCGTGTGTTTAAGCACCGGTCTGCTATGTCTCCTCCTCTGGCCATGTCCAGTTGCCCCTGAACATCCTCTGCTGACAACGGCTTCCTGATGCTGCGGATTTACTGTGCATTGCATCTGCCTGCTGGTGAAATGGCCCAATCCTTCAGGAAACCAAATCTGCCCTGCAGTCCATGTGGCAAAGGGGTTGGGGAAGGGGTGGGTGGAGAATGGCCTCACAAATTCTGAGTAGCCCTTGTCCCAGTCCCAGAGAGGCACTGCTTGGGTCCAGGGTCCTTGTTCCCTCCTCACTGGAGTCCTCTCTCCATCAGACAGGTCAAGGGATGCCACCTTCCCCTCCATGTCTCATCTGTCTATCTCCCTATTGCCCCTCTCTCCTTCAGCTGAAAAGGAGTGCCCTTGTACCTCTTCATTTGTGCGATAGATACCACCTAGGGTCCCAGTTGTATAAGCTGCACTCAGCTATAATTCATTCATTGAATCAACAAATATTTACAAAGTACCCCCTAGGGGCCAGAGACAATCAGCCAGCAGGTCCTTCACATCTCTCGACTGCCCTTCTCTGCATCTGTGCCACTGTCACCACCTCATTTCAGACTTCTCTCACTTCTGTCCCGACTGCAATAGTCTCAGAACTGGTCTCCCTGCCTCCTGGCTGGCCCCCTCTCATCCAGCCTCCACTGACTGCCAGAGAGATCTTATTAACATGCAAAGCTGATGACATCAGGCTTCTGTTCAAAAGCCTTCGGGGCTCCCTATGGCTTTCAGGCTGGAGTTTAAACTCCTTGGCTTCCCACTAAAGACATTTTGTGATCTGACTGCTGTCTGTTTGTTCAGCCACAACTCCCATCTCTCCTCACTATGAGTCATG